CGCGCGCGACACGCGATATCCAATGAGTGTACAGCTTTAGCGATGTTCTCATTCTAAAGGTATTGGATATCGCGTGTCGCGCGCGACGAACATCGCGCTGGTGTGCCGGAGCTATAACGTTACTAGACGTCTCTTTTATTTGAATTGGTTCAATTGGTAAAACCTTCAACATGGCTGACAGTGACCGACATCAAAACAGTCGACAGCGACTGTCGCTACTGTATGTAATTATACTGTGGCTAGAGATGGGATCGAACTCAATATGTACTTAAAAATTTGAGTCAAATTCAATAATTTAGTTTCATTTTCTAGGATTCGAGTAATACTCATAAGAAATAATATTTCATACTTCATACTTGCAAAGTAATCGATCGAAATTGCTGGTTTCGAATCCTACATAAGAGTATTTCTGATTTAATTTTCTGCTTCAATATGAAGAAATCTGCGGCTGAGGCTCATCGAATGTTCTCAAATACTTATGGTGAGGCCGCTATTAATGAAAGAACGTGAACGGTTTCAACGCTTCAAGAACGGTGATTTTGACGTCGAAGACCGGTATAGCGGTGGAAAAGAGAAGGTTTTCGAAGATGCAGAATTGGAGGCATTACTTGATCAAGACTCGTGTCAAAATCAAGAAGAATTGGCACGATCATTGGGAGTGACTCAACAAGTCATTTCAAAACGCCTCAAAGGCATCATGGGAATGATTCAGAAGCAAGGAAATTGGGTGCCGTACGAGTTGAAACCGAGAGATGTTGAACGGCGTTTGTTTGCTTGTGAACAGCTGCTTGAAAGGCAAAGACGGAAGGGATTTCTGCATCGCATTGTGACTGGGGACGAAAAATGGGTTCATTATGATAACCCCAAGCGCAAAAAATCATGGGGAGTTCCCGACCATGCTTCCAAACCGAATATTCACGGCTCCAAGGTCGTGCTCTGTATTTGTTGGGCCCAGCTCGGCGTAGTGTATTATGAGCTGTTAAAACCGACTGAAACAATCACAGGCGATCGGTATCGAACGCAATTGATGCGTTTCAGCCGAGCATTGAAAGACAAACGGCCGCAATACAACGAGAGACACGATAAAGTGATTTTGCAGCATGACAATGCTCGACCCCATGTTGTGAAAGTGGTCAAGACATACTTGGAAACGTTGAAATGGGAAGTCCTACCCCACCCGCCGTATTCTCCAGACGTTGTTCCCTCTATCACTTGTTTCGATCAATGGCACACGGCCTGACCAGCACTTCCGGTCTTATGAAGAAGTAAAAAGTTGGATCGATTCGTGGATCGCCTCAAAAGATGACCTGTTACCGACTCAGTCCGGCGTCCACTTGATAGGGAGTTGGGAGTGCTACGTGACGCGAAGATAGGCAGTAAGGTGGACGCGGCGTTAGTTCTTTAGGTTTTTAGTTTATGTTCGAATGCATGTAACGTTCACGTTGTCTCGTGCTTCCAAATAAAGCATTCTAAGTTTTCATCCCTTGGCAACATTCACACCAATCCACAACATAATTATTGGCGCCCAACGTTGGGGCACGAGGCGAGGAAGAAAACAGAAAAGCATAAGTGAAAACAGACAGACGCATAAAGGCATTCTAGAAATTGTCGCAGTGAGAACGGACGGAAAACATGACGGAATTGAAGAAGGCTAAATTAACGCGAGTTCGAGTCAAAGGACAAGTGATGCGGATCTTCAATTATATCTCAACGGAACAAGGCATCACATATCAACAAGCAGAGACCCGTTGTCACAAACTGGAAGAATTGTGGGCAGCGTTCAATGAAAACCAACTGCAACTGGAAGAATTACGCATAAAAGAAGAGGAACAATTGGAAGATGTGGTGAAAGAGGAAGAAGGAGAGAGAATCGTCTTCGAAACCAGGTACTATGAAGCAACTGACAAGGTACGCAGCGTCATGGCAGAAACGCAACAAGCAGCAAATTTAGTGGTAATGCAGGAACAGCAAACGAATAGAAGGGAACAGCCTCCAGGTACGATTGATGTTAAATTACCGACGCTAACCTTACCCGCGTTTGATGATGAGTACGAAAAATGGATGTCCTTCAAAGATGCATTTACGTCCTTGGTACATGATAATCGGAAGTTAACGGCAGTTCAGAAATTCCAATATCTGCGTAGTACGTAAAGGGCGAAGGCTTACAAGTAATTAGTGGACTGAATACAACGAGTGAGAATTATGTAATTGCTTGGGACCTTTTGAAGGACCACTATGAAAATAAGAAATTGATTATCAACAGTCATTTGACACGGTTATTGGAATTTTCGCAAATTACAAAGGATAAGCATTAAATATTGAAGCAGTTTATAGTACATATTAGCACTCATTTGAAAGCGTTAGAAGTGTTAGGACAACCCGTCAATCAATGGGATGCTATCATTATTTTTCTTGCTAGGAACAAGTTGGATTTTCATTCATAGCGTGAGTGGGAGGATGTAGTCGGACAACAAGAACAAGATCACATGCCAACGGTAGAAGAATTTCTTAAATTCTTACAGGAAAGATGTCGAACATTTGAGATGTTGAACAGTAGAAAGGTTAAACAGGAGCCTACAACACAAGCTAACACCAGTAAGAAGGTTGAGAAGCGAGTAGCGTTGGCAGTCGCTACGCAAGCATGTCCGATTTATCAGGAAAAGCATCACATTTCTAATTGCGAGGAATTCTTAAAAAGATCTGCTCAGGATCGAAAGGCAGAGGTAAGAAAGAAACAGCTGTGTATTAACTGTCTAAGAGCAGGATACTATGTAAAAGAATGTAGTCTTCAAGTTGCCGTAAGTGTTCCAAGGCGCATAACACGCTGTTGCACATAGATCAGGCGAGCGCACAGTCAGAGTCTGTCGCGAACCCTGATACGCAATCATCAGAAGAAACAGAGAAATCGACGACTACCCTGTAATTTTGTTCATTGCATGAATCAAGCGGATGATTCTACACAGAATAATGTAGCATTAACAAATAGTAACAAGTCAAGTTCACATTCACTAATATTACTAGCCACAGCTCAAGTGTACGTTCGCGATGCTCAAGGGAAGCAGCAACAATGTAGAGTTTTGCTGGATCCGGGTTCACAGTCGCATTTGGTAACGAAGGAATTAGTTGATAAATTAAAACTGCCATACAAAAGAGCGAATCAAATCATTAATGGTGTCATGCAATGTTCGACGGAAATTAGATATTCCACGAGTCTATGGATCGAGTCCCGTCATACTAACTTTAAAGATTGAAGATAGATTGTTTGGTGCTTCCTACCATAACAGAACGATTGCCACAAGTCAAATTAAACAAAGAAAACACTAAGTGTTTTACCTGACGACGCTAGAATAGCAGACCCCTCCTTCAACAAGTCAGGTAAAATAGACCTACTGATAGGCGCTGGCTTATTTTGAAAATTATTGTGTGTAGGTCAGATACAAGATGGCCGAGGGAATCCTACGTGGCAAAAGACCCTTTTTGGGTGGGTAATCGGAGGCGAGATGGTGCACGCGAATCCTAATAAAGCCTCAACGTCGCTAGTCACAACGAATCAAGCTCTACAAGAACAAATCGAGAGATTTTGGAAACAAGAAGATATTCAAGAACCGCGCTTACTCAACAAACAAGAAGGTTACTGCGAAGAGCATTTTATCAACACATATTCAAGAGAGCCGGATGGAAAATTCATAGTTAGTTTGCCGAAGGATTCTTAAATTGCTCTCGGAGACTCACGGAAAACCGCGATGAAGAGGCTACTCGCGCTAGAAAGAAGATTTAAACGGCAACCAGCCCTCAAAAAAGAATATGTTCGCTTCATGGAAGAGTACAAGGATAAGGGACACATGAATACGGCATCTGGGGATGTCGCTTCCAGCGAGAAGCCATCGTACTTTATACCACATCAGCCTGTACTCCGGCCCGAGAGCACTAGCACAAAGCTCAGGGTAGTATTCGATGCATCGGCCAAGACAGACAACGGAAAGTCACTCAACGACACGTTGCTGCCTGGACCTAATTTGCAAAACAACTTGTTACATCTTATGTTACGATTCCGGACGCACTTGTACACAGTAAATGCCGATATTGCAATGATGTTTCGGCAAATAATGATAGCAAAGGAAGATCGCAATCTTCAGTTGATTCTCTGGAGATGTCAAGAATCTGAACCGGTAGAGGTATTCAACTTAAATACTGTCACATATGGAACCGCCTGTGTGCTCTATTTGGCACAGCATTGTTTGCAGAAACTAGCAGAAGAAGAGGGAGAATCATTCCCCCTTGCAAGGAAAGCACTTCAATCGGATTTTTACATGGACGATGTAATCACTGGATCCGACGATCTTGAAGAAACTATTATGCTGCAGAAACAACTTATGACATTACTAGGAAAAGGTCAATTTCCTTTGAGAAAATGGAGAGCAAACAATGAAAAGATATTGCAACATTTGACAGTGGATAGCAAGGCCGATGAACTATTGGTATTAAACAAAGAAGAGCCTCTGAAGGCACTTGGATTGCTATGGGATCATAGAACAGATCTCTTACACTACAGTATAAGGGATATGGACCTTCACCGAGCCACTAAACGCACAGTATTATCGGAGATATCAAAGATTTACGATCCATTGGGACTTCTATCGCCTGTACTTATAGTCTCCAAAATCCTCATGCAAAGGCTTTGGTCCTTAGATGTTGGCTGGGACGAAAGCCTGCCGCAAGATCTATACACGCAATGGAAGAGTTATCGTTCATCTCTAAACCAATTACAGGAGATAAGGGTTTCTCGTTGTGTAAAGGAAGGCAACGCAAAGGCGAAATTTGATTTACATCGATTCGGAGACGCCTCCAAGAAGGCCTACGGCGCATGTATCTATGCAGCCAGCAAGGACGTGGATGGTAATTTACATTCAAGACTTTTATGCGCCAAGTCAAGGGTAGCACCCTTAAAGACAATAACTATTGCAAGGTTGGAGCTGTGTGCGACGCTACTAGTGGCTCAGCTGTGTCACGAAGTACGTGAGGCACTAGGCGAAGCAACCAACAATATTCACATGTGGACAGACTCCATGATTGTGCTGGGATGGATAGAAGCCTGCCCCAGCACTTTGAAGACCTTTGTGGCCAATAGGATATTGAAAATACAACAGCTCTCGGCGAGAGAATTGTGGCATCATGTGGCGTCTGGCGATAATCCTGCAGATATCCTGTCGAGAGGAACCACTACTCAGCAACTAAGGGATAATAGCCTATGGTGGTATGGACCCAGATGGCTTCGTTCAGAAGAAGAATGGCCAGAGCGGCGTGAGAACATCCCAGAACTACCGGACAGAAGAGAAAAGAAGATCTCTGTTTTAATCGCAACTTCGTCACATTCAATACTACCAGTGTATCTTCATTTGAACGGATCGTAAGAATTCTAGCTTGGTGTTACAGATTTGCCGAAGGTTGTCGTCGCAATAAACAAAGAGGCGGTCTCACCGTCAGTGAGCTGAATAAGGCTATCGCGAGGATAGTCCAACATGAGTCCTTTATCCAGGAGGTTCACAGTCTCAAAAGGAGGAGTGCTATCAAGGGGAATAGCAAGTTGATCGCACTAGACCCATTCATAGACAAACAGGACTTAATCGAGTAGAAGGTCGTTTATGGCATGCTGACTTGCCGGAAGAAACAAAGCACCCTATCATACTGCCGTCACGACATCACATAACTAATCTAATATTGAAGGAAGAGCATTTGAGGCTATATCATTGCGGAGTTGAGCAGCTGTTAGCATCAAGCAGAAGAAAGTATTGGATTCTTGCCGGCAGAAGAAAAGCTCGAAGAGCAGTCCGCTCATGTCTAATTGTTTTAGAACGCGTCCTCCCAACTTGTCTGTGAAGATGGGGGACTTGCCCAAGGAAAGGGTAACTGGATATATACGTCCGTTTGCTATTAGTGGAGTAGATTATGCGGGGCCTATATTCATAAGGGAGAGCCGTCGCAGAGGACGTCACCCTACGTTCAAGGCTTATATTGCCTTGTTTATTTGTCTCAACACAAGAGCTATTCATCTCGAGTTAGTCACAGATCTGACGACAGAAGCGTTTTTGGCAGCTCTTCGTCGTTTTACCGGAAGGAGAGGAATTTGTTCCCGTCTGATATCCGATAATGGCACCAATTTTGTAGGTGCCTCTCGAGAACTTAAGGAATTATACGCATTTTTAAAGGAAAAGGAAGATACAATACAAACACTGTTGGCGAAGCAAAAAATAGAGTGGAGCTTTATTCCTCCGAGAGCCCCAAACTTCGGGGGTTCATGGGAGTCTGCAATCAAAATAGTAAAAAGGAAATTTTACGCTGTGACCAAGGGTTTGGTCTTGACGTTTGAAAAATGTTACACTCTTCTCGTTGAAATTGAGGCGGTTGTAAACTCTCGACCAATAACTCCGTGCTCGAACGATCCTCAAGATTTGTCTGTATTAACCCCTGCCCATTTTTTGGTGGGAGATTTTTTGTTTCAGCCCGTACAAAGGAATTATGTTGATGTTTTTGATAAGTATCTAAGTCGTTGGCAACACCTTCAAAAGGTGCGGCAAGATTTCTGGAGGCGCTGGCAGACCGAATATTTGATGGAGCAGCAACGTCGGAGTAAATGGGTTCGTGGAACTACAGCCTTGACTAAGGGAACTCTGGTACTCCTTAAGGACGAGCGTCTGCCTCCTCTCCAGTGGCATGTAGAAAGAATTACGGAGGAGCACCCGGGAGCCGATGGCGTAATTAGGGTGGTCACGGTCAGAACGGCACAAGGCCAGTTTAAGCGAGCATCACGCAGCTTATGTCCCCTGCCTATGGAGGATGACTTCCTTACACCAAGAAGCAATTGATACAGTAGTGAAAGATAAGAAGATTGTTATGATAACTGATGATATGTATAGGTCAGAGTATAACTTGAAAGATAGTCTTTCAAGGGGGGAGAACTGTTACCGACTCAGTACGGCGTCCACTTGATAGGGAGCTGGGGGCGCTACGTGGCGCGAAGATACGCAGTAAGGTGGACGCGGCGTTAGTTCTTTAGGTTTTTAGTTTATGTTCGAATGCATGTAACGTTCACATTGTCTCGTGCTTCCAAATAAAGCATTCTAAATTTTCATCCCTTGGCATCATTCACACCAATCCACAACATGACCAGTTTTTTTGACGCGTGATTCGTACGCTGCCCGAAAGATGGGAGAAAGTAGTGGCCAGCGATGGACAATACTTTGAATCATAAATATATAACCAGTTTTTTACAATAAAGCCTCGAATTTCGGAAAAAAACGGCGGAAGCAAAGTTGTACACCTAATATTTAAGACAGTATTGAAATAAGAACTGACTATGAAAACCGATCCTAGTATGTGATGTGACGTGACATTTTGTCCGTCACTGTACAGATTTGTCGACGGCGGACTCGTGTTTCCTATCGGCTCGGAGGGCGAGCGCGCAGGCGAGTGTGCACGCGAGCGCGCATGCGAGCGCACCTGCGAACGTGCGTTAAAATTGCGTCATCTAATTTACTCTACAAATTTTCCTCTTTTTGTGTTAGCATTTCTTTTGCGTAATAATAGAGGTTATCAGAAAGCGTGGACGCGCCACGGATCACGCTCGGCAGCTGCTGTAAAATAGTATTGTATCATCGTGCC